AAGAAGGAAAGGGTTGGATCAGAAGACAGTCTGGTTGCCTGTACAGGGAAGATCATTAACCTTTACTAATTCTGTTTTCACATCTGCATAGTGAGGATACTGGTTTTCATCCTGCTTTCTCAAATAGGTTGACTTTTTAAATGAGGAAAATATATTAGTGTCTGTGAAAAAAATTTAAATCCATACGTGAATTTTTGCTCTCCGCAATGGTGGGTCAGACAAGATTCCAGGCAAGAAAAATAAAAACAAACTAAATAAAATATTTTTAAAAAATCTATTTGAACAAATCAAAGAGTTATTAAGTATGATGGTTAATACTGAGTGTCAACTTGATTCGAATGAAGGATACAAAGTATTGTTCCTGGGTGTGTCTGTGAGGGTGTTGCCAAAGGAAATTAATGATGGAGTCAGTGAACTGGGAGATGCAGACCCACCCTCGGTCTGGGTGGGCACTGTCTAATCAGCTGACAACAAGGCTGTAATAGAAGCAGGCAGAAGAGCGTGGGAAGACTAGACTGGCTAAGTCTTCTGGGCTTTATCTTTCTCCTGTGCTGGCTGCTTCCTGCCCTTAAACATTAGACTCTAAGTTCTTCAGCTTTCAGACTCTTGGACTTACACCAGTGATTTGCCAGGGGCTCCTGGGACTTTGGCCACAGACTGAAGGCTGCACTATTGTCTTCCCTACTTGTGAGATTTGAGGACTCAAACTGGCCTATTGTGGAATTTCACCTTGTGACTGTGTGAGTCAATTCTCCTAATAAACTCCCCTTCATATACTCATCTAAACTATTAGTTCTGTCCCTCTACAGAACCCTGACTAATTCACTAAGGAAGAGAAGGATTTAGGAACTAAAACACAGAAGCAAACCTGCCATCTGATGCTTCTGCTTTCCTTCTGAAGGCATTTACTGATTCCAACACAGCAGCTGACAGGCTGAGAAAGAAGCTGAATCAAGTTTCTGGCCATTACACTGAGCTAAGGGGACAGAAGTTGGCATTCAGGGTCTGCCAAGTAAGAGGAGCCCTGGTAAATTGCCCTGCCTTAAAGTTAAGTCCTTCAAAGAGCAAAGCCTTTTGAATAAGACTTGACAAGGAATACACCAGCCATTAGGAAGCCCAGCCTTGAATTAGCCCAATATCCAATTGTATTAAAATAATCTGTTTCTTAACCTTAAATGCCTGCTACAACAAAAGAAAATCTGCTTTTTTGGAAGGTATCAGCATTCCAAGTCTCAAATTCTAAAACCTTTTGTACATACATTTGGTATTGGAACAAGCCTAAGCAGGCAAGCAAAAACACAAAAAGAAATGGATCATGTCCTTTGCAGGGACATGGAAGGAGCTGAAGGCCATTATCCTTAGCAAACCAACACAGGAACAGAAAACCCAAGATTTCATGTTCTCACATTTAAGTGGGCGCTAAATGATGAGAAAACACGAACACATAGAGGGAACAACACACATTGGGGCCTTTCAAAGGGTGGAAATTGGGAGGGTGGAGGGGATCAGGAAAAATAACTAATGGATTAGTGGATATTAGGTTTAGTACTTGGGTGATGAAATAATCTGTACAACAAATCCCCGTGATACACATTTATGTATGTAACAAATCTGCAAATGTACCTCTGAACTAAAAAGTTAAAAAAAAATCTTTAGGACAAATTGATGAAATAAACAAATGTAAAAAAGAAAACAGAAAAAAAATTCCATGGTGATTTTAAATAATTCAAAACTATACTTAGATACTGGAGTTATCTGACAAAAATCAGGGAAAAACACTTCTGATTTAATTAGAAGACTGTAGGGATATTGCTAAATTTGCTGCCTTAAAATACAATCATTTTCAAGGAAAAAAAAGTTGGTAATTTGCTTTTAAAGCAAAACTCACACCTTGTCCACCTCAACAATTCAATGAAAATGATGTTGAGGTTTTAAGAATTGAGAACAAACCAAGAATGATTAAACAGAAACTTCATGGGAGCTTTCTTCTTCTCATGATGTCCTAACTGTGCAAATTTATTTATGTTTTAGATTTTTCTTGGGCACAACAAATCATTGATTTTATTCTAAAATTTCTAGTAAATTGTCCTATGTAATTTACTATTTAAATTCTACATAAAATAGCAGATTCTACTTGAATTCTATGTCTAATTTTTATAAGCATCATGGAATAGATTTTTTGCTAATAAAATATAAACTTTTTGACTATAATTGACTCATATGATTATCTCTTCAGCAATAACTCCCTAGTTCATTCACTAGGTACTTATTAGAGTCATCATTAGACCAGGAATGAATTCTTATCATCACAATTAAATAAATTGGTTTTGACTTAAGTACAAAAAAAGAGACCATATTACTTTTTAACTCTCAAGAAAAAAAAATCAATATATTGGATAATAATGCAGAATTTATTTTCAGCTTGATAAAATTTAAAGATAACTGCAGAATTAAGTAACTTAATGGAGAGACCAAGTTCTTATCAGCTAGGGCAATGCTGTAGAAAACAACATACAAAGTAAAAGATTCTATCTTTTAAAACCACTAAGAGTTGAGTACTTTACTGGCTGACTGCCATTCTTTAAATGTGTTTTCTGCTAAATATGAATATTTCATCCATTTATCTCTGCAAATGAAATTTATCAATAGCATTTAGTTGTTTCATTTTTAGCTATAGCTAAATTAAATTTCTACCCAAATTCTTTCATGGAAGAAAGGTTGGGAAGAAGAGAAGTAGATACCCTTGATTCCCAATTAACTCAAACCAATAGAGGGAGGTAAGTAAATAGCAAACACTATTAGTAGATGATTGCTTGGGTGTGGCATTCTTGTCCTACAATTATTTATAACTTAAAAACATGAGATTTCTCTCTGATAGACCATAATTAGCCGAGAAATATGCAAGGTCTCCTTAGAGTAAGCTCATAACTCCAAAGCCAGAGGGATCCGACTATAAACTGACTCTATTAATGTGCCTAAAGAAGGAATACATCCATGAAAAAGAGGCAGATAAAGAGGTGTTAAAAAAGAAGCCATCATAGGCATATTGTGGCAATACCCAAATTAGCCAGTTCAGGAGAGTCTTGCTTGAGGACGTGGGAACATGTGAACAAGACTATCCTTACAATGGATCAGAGCTATCCAGGCTTTATTAGCAGCATAAAGCTTCTTCAAATTTGCTCCGAGATTCAGAGAAGTTAAGCAAATTATTCTAGGTTAGTTATTTATCTTTCAGTTGTAGAGTCAAGTTTCACAACTATGAGTCTTTCAAAAAAAACCACTGCTGCCAGAGCTATATGTCTTTAGGCTACTGATACTCACTTCCTTCAGCTGACTTATTATTCTTATAATGTGAAAATAATCAAAATGTTATAATATTTAAAGTCTAATAATCTGTTGAACCTTCTCTAAGGAAGTTTCAACATGAATATGAACAAAATTCAGATGTATACCTGTTACACATACATATGTAGTTGCGATGAAGCTAGGCCTTTTGATCCTTCTCACCTAAAGATCAAAATTTTCACTGGGCAATGTTAAAAAGAGACAGAACCTTTCAAAAACAATGTGAATACTTTTGAAAGCTCTTGAAGGGGCAGCAAATTTAACTGGGTTAAGTAGGGGTGGGAAGAAATGTAACTTAGTCTATTTGAGCTGCTATTAAAAAACACCATAACCCGTGTGTCTTATACATATCAAACATTTATTTCTCACAGTTCTGGAGGCTGAAAAGTCAAAGTACAAGACACCAGCAGATTTTGTGTCTGGTGAGGGCCTGCTTCCTCATAGAGGGCACCTTCTTGCTGTGTCCTTGCATAGTGAAAGGAAAAGTCAGCTCTCTAGGGCCTCTTTTATAAGGGCACTAATCTCATTCCGGAGGGCTCCATCCTTATGACCTAAATATCTCCCAAAGACCCCATCTCCTAATACTATCACCTTAGAGATCAGAATTTCCACATACAAATTTTGGGGGCATACAAACCTTCAGACACTGGCAAAAGCAAAGGAGTGCTCCTCTCCCAACATATTCAAAACTAATCCCCTTAGGATATCTTTCTCCTCAGAGTGCCTTCATTGTAGCAATTGTTCATTCATTCATTCAGCAAATATTTATGGAACATTTACTGTGATCCAGGCTATATTAATGGTTCCCTCAGTCTCTTCTGTCTTCACCCTAAATTGCAGTCCACCTGTCTCACCCTATTTTTAACCAAAATTTTCCCATTAATGCATGACTTCTTTACCATTTCTAACACAGCCTACTTTGTCTTCTTTCAATTTCATTCTTTTTTATTATCTGATGAACACAGCAAAAGATTCTCAAGAGCCCATCGGGACAAATACAGAATTCTCATAAGAGGGCAGGGAAGATGGAAAAACTATGGAAACATAAAGTTTGTGTGTCTTGTACAAAGAGTTTGCCTATATTATGCTCTGCCAGATTTCCAGGCACACTCCCCACCCCTAGTCTCTTCTCCGTTCTCACTCCTCTGCTTTGAAAGATGAACATACGAACAGGAAACCAAAGTCAGCAATAATTGGCTATAACAGAACATGTTTACTTTGCAACATGGAACTCTTTATATGGACTTCTAAAGAAACTAAGCTTTAAAATAATCATTTAAACATTATTGATTTTTATGAGCTTTTGGATCATAACAGAGAACACTTAGAGTACATGTCTAATTTTCTAAAATTTTCATCAGATATTTTCTTAAGATAATTTTATAAATCTTACTACTTAGTTTAAATGTAATTTGATTTTAGAAATTCTATTTTTTTATTGAGGAGATAAATGTTTGCAAAGGTAAATAGATATTATAGTGTTTCTCTTTTTACTCACTAAACGTCTCAAGTTTTCATGTAACTACATCTTACCACTACCCTATCAACAAGTATGATCTGCCATTATAAAAAGTTGCAGGAGAAATGTCCTTTAGATTATATTTTGGTGGCCAAAAGCAAATCTTTCTGTGGTTATATTTCCAGAACCAACTCACCTATCAAACAGTTCTCCTCCTGTGACGAGTTCTAGGACCAGACTGATTTCTGTAGGGGTTTCAAATATCTCTTTAAGTTTTATCTAGGGAAAGATATAAAAAAAAAGAGCATCACAAATTTCTTATTCCGACTTTCTTAGAAATGGCTAACACTATGGCTAAAACAACACTGCAACAGTAATATGTTGGATCACTGTTAATACAGTTTCCTCATTCTTGTATCAGCTAGCTATTTCTCACTCTCTTTCTGGGTTGTTGATTTTATCAGTTACATCATTTTTTTTCAAAGTTCCTGTAAAATGTATTTACATTTTTCCTTTTGATGGTTGAAAAATATCTGCCTTAGAAACACTTTCTAACTTTTCTAAAACATCCCAACTTCTGAATAGTTCAAAAATCAAAAACAACAACAATACAACTTCCTAGACCATTTGGGGTATCATGATTGCTAGAGGCACAAAATGACTATTTCTTCTTGTAATTAGGACTTGAAATAAGGGGTCTGAGGCAGCTTAAAATCTGCCTATAGGTAAAGGATATCAATCAATAGCTAAAAAATTGTCAGTGGGTAAAGGAATCCTCAGAAAAGTAGTGGTGATTGAGTATACCACAGTATACTTGATTAGGTATACCACAGTCTTCATCACATTCAGATAATCCAAGCACTTTTAGATATTTTTCTCCATATATATGAGAATCTAGTAGCCAAGACTAGTCTACACTTGAGGAAAATTCTACATTGACTTATCTTTGGAAAGAAGAGATGGATAATGTAAAAGTGGTGATTGAGTGTGGGAGATTTTATTAACTGCTTACCCAAAGCCCTTTTCTTCCTACTTTATTATAAACAGAACTTTGATTTGTTCAGAGAAGCAAAGTGTCTAGTGCCAGATTATGGATCATGAATGGTCTCAGCCACTAATTTCACAGCCTCCGTACAGTTAAGGGCAATCTTGTGACCAGCTCCAGCCAACAGAATTTGAAGAGACTCCTGCTGCCACAGTTTCTAAGAAAGCTTTTACTCTTCTAATGAGAATCTGTAGCTGAGATCCTACCCTCTTCTTCCCATTTTGAATATAGACATGATGACTTGCAAAAATTGTGGAGCAGTCATACTAGGCCCAGGAGGGAAAAGGGTGAGGATCAAAGTCACCTGGCAGAACCACGGATGGTATCTGGGTTCTGGATGGCAGTGTTGAGGAACTGAGCCAGAGCTAAAAACTGCCTGATTTCTGTTGCTTGCAATATAAGAAAAATATTTGTTTAAATCACCCTATTCAAGTTTTCTGCGATTTAGAGCTGAATGCTTCCCTAACTTATATGTTAAGTTTTGAGCCCTTTGCCTTGAGCCTAAGCAGGACATCACAGCTTCCTCAGAAAAATGGGCCAAAATGCTTTCTTGAAGTAGATGGCTTAATTCATAAAAACAACTTACGACCTAGAAAATGATTTTGTTCTTTTTCACTTCATCAGTTCAAGAAAGCTTTTTACTAAATCTTACCATCAGAGGCTTTGTCTTGTCTAGACAAAGCCTGAAGCAGAGCCTCTGAGGACATTTTATTTTCTGCATTCAAGTACATCATTTATTTGCATCTTCACATTGTTCTTGAAGCAGATCCTCTCAAAGCAGACTGAAATGACTTTGGAAAGCAATGTATTTTCTTCACAGGCTTTTTCAGTAATGGAAAATTAATAAGATAGGCACAAAAAAAGAAGGAAAAAGCCAGTGTTTTATTAGACCAAAACAAAACTTTGATTTTTATCCTTTTATACATGAAAATAGAGATGGTATATATTGCTAACCTGTCTATTTTGGAACTTTTCTAGAGGTATTACTTGTAATACTTATTCAGTGAAAGATTAAAAATGTGATGAGAAGAAGACAAGAGCTAGGCCATGGTAGCTACCAGTGGTGGGAGAATCCCCTTCTCATTATCAGCATGGACAGTGAAGGACAAAGATCCCTTTCTCTAGCTCTGGAAATCATTTGAAATAGTAGGTTAAAAACCACTTACAATGTTTGGATGTGAGAGACGAAGAAGAACTCCTATCTCAGTTCTTACGATTTTTTTGTCCACCTAAAAGGCAAAATAAAAGAGATAAACTGAAAGAAACTCCCCGCTTCATTGTAGCAGAGAAACAGAAACAGCAATAACTACCTGGGTGAGTCAGGCAATTGGCAGAACCTAATTCCTTAGCTTTTGTGTATCTGTGTCTCCTTCCTCTCTTTCTGTTTCAGCTACACGTCCTTTAGTTCTGTTTCCAACATAAGATAGAGCCAGGAACTAGTACGAATCACAGCTTGTCAGGCTCCTCACACGGCATCTTCCCCACTTTCCTATCAAAAGTCATCACTATCATGACTAATGCCCAAGTACATCTCAACCTATCCTTCTTCCTTGTTTTCCTTTCTTATGTGGAATTCTCTGTCTAAACCCCAATGGAGCCGTCAGTCACTTCACTTATCCTTCTCACACAGAGGTAGCACACAACCCAACCTAGCCAACCCGAATATCCTGTTCCCTGGCCATTGTGGTACGGTCAGGAATATTCACCAGACCAAGCTATTCCAGTCAGGAGCCACTCCAGAAATGCTGCTCAAATAAACAAGAAAGATATTCCATCTTTCTCTGAAATCATGAGAGCAAAAGAGGATAGAGTCTGCTGCTAATAGTGAACAGTTTTGATACCATATGGGACCACTTTATTAAAATGAGGCCAATACAGGAGAAAACACTGCTGAGTTACAAAGAAAGAGAACTGTTGATATAATTTCATCCCCTGGATTCAGTTATGCTAGTTTGCCCTTTGAATTTCTAATTGTATGAGCCACTACATTTCTTTTTTTCTGCTTAAGTTATTTGGAGTTAGTTTCTGTTACTTGCCATGGAAGAATTCTAGTTAGCTCACCACTTGGTCTCTATGTTTGAGACAATGGCAGTTTAGTTCAAAATATTCCAAAATTAAGGATAGTCTCTCTAGCCCAATGACTGACTCCTTTAATCACAATAAGTTGGCATTTCAGAGCTCTAAAAGTTATACAGTAAACATAAAGGTTTTAGTGTCTTCATCTCCAATGAAACTTATCAAAACAATTAATAGATATAATACCTGGACTCTTATTATGGTTTCTACCATTTGAGCTGTCCTGAAACCTTGGACTAGCAAGTTTACATGGTTTGGGAAATGAGGAAGTTTGTGTGCAATTCACAGTCAAACTCTGTGGGCATATCCAAGAGACTGCTTCAAATGGGAAATGGGTTCTTCCCTTTTAGTTATTTCTCCTGAGAAAGCAAGCACTGGTCTCAGGAGAAATCCAATCGCATGTCAATGGTGATAACCAATCACAACTTTTACGATGATAAAGAACAACACCCAGTCATTTCATTTTCATTCTCTAATGAAAACATTAACCAACAAGGATGCACAATATTTAAAAATAAAAAACAAATGAATACTCAAATGACTTTTTCAAACTTTATATGTTCTTTTTCTTGGTTGCAAGGTATAAATATATTTTACAATTATTTTATCTGGAAAATATAATTTTTCCAGACCCTGAAGTACCTCACTTAAAGAAAACAGTCACCATTTCTAAATGTTTTCAGTTTTTAAGAGATGGAAAAATGTTTACAAGGAGATCTTAAGGGGTTCCCAGCCCAATTAGAGATTTCTCAAGAATTTATTTTGCCAGTATACACAATAAAACATTAAATAGCTATATAGTCATGGTAAGTCCTCTTAAGCTACAGTAAAAGTTTTGGTCATTCATGCAGGCAATTAAGAGGCTCGAGATGTTTTAATACATTCTTGCTAAAGAAAGTCAATTCGCAATACTACAAAACAAAAATATCTTTTACTTTTGTTATTTGGATGCCAGGCTGTGCAACCCAGCATACTTCTTAAAATATTTATAAACATCCCACACAAAATGCAACATCAGCTATAAATTCTTAGAAGAGAATGAATATATGATCTATACATTTTAATATCTGACAGTTAATATGCTGTTACATAAGAGGGAAGACTCACTGTGAGCAGAGAAAAGCAAGTTGCTAAGAACCTAACTTAAGTGACTGTACATCAAAGTGATAGGCTCTGGAGTTTTTGCAGCAAAGGAGTAAAGAAAGACACACATACTGATACATCCAGTGCTCTCTGACCTGAGAACTTTGGGGGCTGTTTTAGCAGTCTTCCCTGGACAATAAACCATAGCCACTCTGCATGATTCAGACTATCTATTGACCAAAACTCTTTCAGTTGCAAGTAACAAACACTCAGCTCAAACTCAGGTAAGTCCCAAATGGTAGTTTACTGACACAGGTAACTGGGAAGTCAGAGTAGATCTATCTGCAGACATAACAAAATCTCTCAGACTCAAATAATCTCTTTCTCTCTCCCCCTGTGCATGTCTGTGTCTCTGTTTCTCTGTCTCTCCTTTTCAAATGGCATGAAACGTAGCCACAGAAGCACCAAGCCTGTATATCTCAGGCTCATATTTCTAAGATCAGAGAGATACTCTTTTACTACATCTATCTAATCTTAAATAGTATTCTCATTAGCCTTGGTGATTTATGTACCTACTCCTGGATGTAGGAGACATATAGTCATGACAAGACCAAGAATGAGTAATAAGCTCTCTCCTTTGACGATGGTTGAGGGAGATGGCAGGCTTGGTTCCCTCAAAGAATGAATGTTATCAGACACCGAGGACTCCCTTATTGTTTGCTTTTAGTATTTGTTTCTTTCCTTTTACATTTGCGTAAGATCCTGATCTATTACTCTCAGTTTCTTCCATGTCCCAGACTAATCAGTCAATAATAATTATTCATTCATAACAACTCTTGCCATCAGTTGATTTAATATTTAAAGTTTTGACCACTTACCAGTAACCCAAATGGGCCCTACCAAACAACAATTTAGAATTTTGCCAGAAACTCTTTTGAATCCATACTGGAAAGCTGATGTAGGTGCAATCACTTAGTTGGTGAATAAACCTAGCAGGGTACCGACTTTTGTACTTCAATTCTGCTGTTTTTTCCTCTTCTGGGCAGCAACCTTGTCAACTGTTTTAATGTCACTAGTGATATAATTTGAGGGAATATGAAGAAGTTTAAGAAAATGATGGCTGTAGCCAGTATGAATGGTTGGAGTAGAAACTGGGATAAATAATTTACTGAAATCTTTGTGCTTTATGCGATAGAAGAGAATTATAACCTCCATCATATTGTCAAAACTTATAAGTCAGAGAATCTTAAAAATATAAAATTTAAAAACCAAAAATACATGTTTTATTGAACTAAAAATTTTAGGATGACTGAGTAAATTCTTTATTTTCTATGTAATCAATGTACAGTACACAGTAAGGGAAGGCTAAAATAGGTTTTGTGTGCTCAGGCCCATGTTAAATAATTGGGTCACAGGAAAAAAATAAACAAAATATGGTTCTTCCTACAATCTAATTTGGGAGATGCAACTCATCTACATAATGTTATTAGAAGACAGTGAAAGACAGTAGAGGAAGAATGCAAGTTACAAACGAATTTTGTTTTAAAAGTTCCATTGTTCAGTGGAAGATTGCTTTTCTGAGTCAACTTCTGCTAATATTCAAACAATGGGCTTATTCTAAAAGACTTTTGAGATTACCAGTCACTTAAAAAATCACACTGTTGCTAATATAAAATGAAGAATGTTTTGCTAGAGTGTGCACTGGGTACATGGAAGCCGTGTAAGATGTTGGTTGCTGGTGGCTAATCAGTGGTGTCAGGCAGTTCAATTGTGGAGTATACACAGCATGGTCCAGGAGGTAGTAGAGTGGCAGCACAAGACTCTAAAAGTTATTTAATTTAGTGAAAAAATACACATTTCCTAAAAATTATCGAGCAAGACACAAACACTTATACCAAATGACAAATGAGAGATCTTTGAAAAAGAGAGGCATTACTAGAACAGTCAGATGGCATTGTCAGAGCTCTTGCCTAACCTTCTATTTCAGTTTCTGCAGATGCTATTAAAAAATTCAGATACAGATGTTTTTATCACCACCTTCTCTTCAGGTCAACAAGGATTTCCTTGCTAATATCAAATAAATGTATTTGTCACTATTGCATAATGCTTTAAAGAAAATTTTAAGGACATTAAAAAAATCTTAATTTGTTCCTAAATTAAGATTGTTGTATTAAAATTTCTTTTTCTCACTAGGTTTCTAGGGTTTTGTAATATAAGCTTCTCCCACTCCCACCCCACCACCCCACCATTTTTCAGATATTTCTGATCAATATAAAATGAGATAGTAGAATCCTTTAATTTTTTTCAGATTATATATTTATATTAAACAAATATTTTCTAATACAAATATGTATTGTGAGCAATTTATCTTTTACCATGTTGTGCAGGGCATATTACGTATTGAAATGCCATTTCTTTCTAGTTCTTTGAGAGTTGTTTAAACTCCTAAAATACTCAGAACAGGCCAGATTGCAAAAAGTCTGGGCTAGCAAATTTCTAGTAAAATCATTTGCTTTGTATTCAGAATTAATTTTTCTATAAAAACAATTTTTTAAAATGTAATTTTTTTTCACTATACTCTATACCATCATTTCTCCATTTAAAATATGGTCTAAGGGTGATTTCAGATCTTTAGGACCCTTTCAGGGTATATGTAGGGTTTGCCATTTTCCAATTGTTATCTGAGTGAAGCCAGATTTTTTTCCATATAAAGTCAGCCCTCCATATCTGTGAGTTCAGCATCTTCAATTCAACTAACCATGGATGGAAAATATTTGGGAAATAAATCCCAACAACAATAAAAAAAAATGCCGGGCATGGTGGTTCACGCCTGTAATCCCAGTACTTTGGTAGCCGAGGTGGGTGAACCATGAGGTCAGGCGATCAAGACCACCCTGGCTAACGTGGTGAAACCCCTTTTCTACTAAAAATAGAAAAAACTAGCTGGGCATGGTGGCAAGCACCTGTAGTCCCAGCTACTCTAGAGGCTGAGGCAGGAGAATTGCTTGAACCCAGGAGACGGAGGTTGCAGTGAGCAGATATTGCACCACTGCACTCCAGCCTGGGGGAC